GTTATTTTATTTGTTTGTTTTTCTTGCTGAAGAAGCAGGACAGTTCTGTTTGGCTTAGGAAAAGCACAGCTGAGTCCAGAACTGCTTCTCCCTAAAAGGCACGACTCTAAGGGTTTCATCCTCCTTTTGTGTTCCTGGTGGTTCCAAGTCCTGCAATGGCCTCTGAACAGCCTGTCTCCAGCGTGTTCTGGTCCACTTGATCCCCAGTCACTGCCCCAGTGCTCCTTCTAAATCCCCACTGATAGCAGACTTTCCTCTGCTCAACTCCCTTCCAGGGTTCAGCCCTTCGTTACCTACAGGGTCACATTTATACAGGATCACATTCATATAGGGTTACGTTCAACTTGTTAACCTGCTGTAACCTCAGTGTCTCCCCTCGTATCCAGGCAGGTGGGATCCAGCTTCTCCCTCTCAGTCAAGGGCCACTTACCTCTAACATAATTTGGCTTGAAGAAGGGTGGACTCGTGGCCATCCTAACTCAGCCCACATTGTCAGCTGCTTATTCATGGTGACCTGGCTCCTAATAGCTCTCTCTGCAAGTCTGGGATGGCTGCTCTGGCCACTAGCAAAGGCTTCCATGCTCTCAGTTGACCCCCTCCAAACATGTATGCTGCCCATTCTTGCCCCTGCCCCCACCCTCAACATACTAACACAGAAGTGTTTGTGTTACAGGCTTTTCCTGAAGGTTTGGCCAGTATTGTCTGTGGACCCAGCACAGATGAAACAGGAAATGAGGTGGTTCTCTGGATCCCCTCAGCCATCATGGCCATGGAAAATTCCTCCCTGGAAGTCCATCCACACTACCTGGGTCCCCACTCGCCTCTTTGCTTTTAGAGTTAGAGCAAAGAGTCCTAGCTCTCCTCTCCTAGATTTCCAGGGCTTTCAACACACTCCACTGCCAGCTCTCCTCCCCCAGAAAACACTAAAAATTCTCATTACTTTATTATCATGCAGAGGACCAGGTGATCCTATTTCATATTGCAGGGTTTCTAACCTGAAATCCATGGACTCCTAAGGAGACTGTAAATAGACTTCAGGAGGAGTTGTGGATTTGCATGGGGAGAAAGTTATACCTTTATTGTTTTCAACAATCTTGAAGTAAAATTTTTCATTTACTTCAGTGATAAATGTAGCAACAAACCACAGAGCCTGAGACACTGGCACCAACTGAACCACAGATATTTCATATTATCTCATGTTCAAGCAGATATCTCAAATACTGCTTATACCCATTATTATTTGGAAATTACTTTGAAACTATAAATTACTTATTGAAAGCAAAAAAGCTGGTTTAATGTGTGAAGTGGCATACATACTGGTATCTCAATTTTTTATTTTTATTTTTAGTTAATTTATTTTTTTAAGTTTTTTAAAGGCTTTTTGGTCACACCATGCAGCATGAGGGGTCTTAGTTCCCCGACCAAGGACTGACCCTGAGGGAAGAGAGTCTAGGCTAGTATTGTAGGCAGAATAATGGCCTGCCAAAGATGTCCATGTTCTAATCCTTGGGATCTATGATTATGTTAGGTTCATGGTGAAGAGGAGTTAAAGTTGCAAATGAAATTAAGGTAGCTATTCAACTCACTTCAAAATAGGGAGATTATCCTGGATTACCTGGGTAGGTAATCCTTAGTCAGAAAAGATTTTAACATGGAAAAGGGAGCCTAAACAATAAAATAAGGGTATGTGACTATGGAAGAGAAACTCAGAGAGATGCAGTGTTGCTGGCATTGAAGAGAGAAGGAAGCCATGAGCCGTAGAATGTGGGAAGACTCTACAAGCTAGAAATAGCACAGAGTCAGATGCTCTCCTGGAGCCTCCGGAAGGAAACAAAGCCCAGAAACCTATTTCCATTGTCTACCCTACAAAACTGTAAGGTAATAAACTTGTGTTGTGTAAGTTGCCATATTTTTCGTGACTTATTACATCAGCAACAGGGAACTCGTATAGCTGGGTTACTCAGCTTCCATACAATGGTTCTTGGAGGGTTAGTGGAGAGAAGTGAGACTATAAATCTCTTGAATCCAGCCTCATGTGTTTTACTTTGGGAATAATGACTGGGTGTATAAGCATGAATTAAGAGCTACAACCTTTGAACAACACCAACATAATGCTGAAGGTCTAGCAAGGGATCCCTGAGTCCTGGGAAAGCATTTACAATATTCAGAGCATCCACTCACTCTCAATACTGGTGCAAGGACGAAAATAATGGTACAGATGCACTGATCAAACCATCCTTTCCCCATTTTCTCTCTCTCCTGGGGAAATCAAAGCAGGACAGTCTCCATACTGTGTCATTCAATCATTAGAAATATGAAATAAGGCTGCAAATGCTAAAGTTGGTTATATCTGTCATTGCAGTCTGACACTGAATAGAGTGCCACGTAAATGTTTACATTTAACACTCAGTAAATGTGTTGACATAGTGTCTTAGACTTTCTTTGTGATATGAATGAATTCAACAGTTCTGTGATAAGCCATGGCAATTTAAATGACCGTATAAGCCAAGATCATTATGCCAAGTTCCAGGGAAATAAAGAATGAATGATGAATGATGCTTTTTTCTCTAATGAACCTCATCATAACTTTTGAGTTGGAATCCTAATTAAAAGATCAGTTCCAATATTTGTAACACCTGCATTTTCCTGACTAAAGCTTTACATTTAAAATTAACATTTGGAAACTTAGTGCAATTTGTTTTTTTTATTCCCTCTCTCGAAGTTGAGGACTGCCAGTAGTGAGAAGCAGTCTGGTCATAGGCATGAAGGAGCAAAATAGATTGAAACTTCACCTTGAAAACTCTTCATACATCCTCCTTAAGCAGTTGGCAGTCAAATGCGGGGAGGAGGGGGGAATATTGAAATGTTGTTTTAGATGCAAAATCAAAATAAAGTCCCCAATATCTTTACAAAGGGTTGGTTCCAACCCCTCACCTCCACCTGTGGTTAACAAAATCCAAGGATGCTCAAGTTCTTTATATAAATGGTGCAGTATTTACATATAACCTACATACATCCTCCCTTATATCAATACTTTAAATCATCCCTTGATTACTCAAAATACCTAATACAAGGTAAATGCTATGCAAATAGTTGTGAGTGTGACAAATTTAAGTTTTACTTTTTGGAAATTTCTGGAATGTTTACTAATATTTTTTGACTGCAGGTTGGTTGAATTCACAGATACAGAATCTGTGGATACAGAGGGCTGACTGTACTCTGAAATGCAACACACATCTCAACAGGGGGATTAATGTAAACATTTTAATTTATTTGATCATCAAATAACCAAAGGTGGCTAGGCAAGGTCTCAGTTGATGGAAGGGTCCTTTACCTAGTCTACCAAACACTCTAAGTAGCCTAACATGGATGGATCATGGCATCCACCACAGATTTGGACGATGCTGCAAAATGGATAGACTTTTCTTTCAGTGCCTTCACACATTGTGTAATTCACTCTCTTCCAATTCTTCCCCTACTCAGTAGGTGTCCCAAAGCCTACAATTAACGCCTTGCCCATTCTGCAGCTTGAAAGCCAATGTACTGGCCTCTGCCAGACAACATATAAGTCACTGACAATCAGTCCTCTCAATAAGTATTTTTAGTTTTCACCGGGAATATAGTTGTTATTTCACCCTCTTGCTAATGTTCTCAACTGAATACTTTTTCACACCCACCAGATAACTACAAAATGCCCATGTATGTGATACAGTCATTGAAAAGAAAAGGTTGAGCAAAATTATATAAAGTTTGACATATTATAATAGCTAATATAACATGGCCGTATAGTCAAAGCTATGATTTTTCCAGTAGTCGTGTATGGATGTGAGAGCTGGACCATAGAGAAAGCTGAGCACCAAAGAATTGATGCTTTTGAACTGTGGTGTTGGAGAAGACTCTTGAGAGTCCCTTGGACTGCAAGGAGATCAAACCAGTCCACCTACAGGAAATCGGTCCTGAATATTCATTGGAAGGACTGATGTTGAAGCTGAAACCCCAATACTTTGGCCACTTGATGTGAAGAACTGACTCATGTGAAAAGACCCTGATACTGGGAAATATTGAAGGCAGGAGGAGAAGGGGATGACAGAGGATGAGATGGTTGAATGGCATCACCAAATCAATGGACATGAGTTTGAGTAAGCTCTGGGAGTCGGTGATGGACAGGGAAGCCTGACGTGCTACATACAGTTCATGGGGGTCTCAAAGAGTAAGACACAACTGAGCGACTGAACTGAACTAAATATAACATGTAATATGTTTGCCATCAAAATGTTTTTAATGCCACAAACCTTTCAATTTACTATTAAAACAGAAAAACAATTCACCAATTACTTGCTTTTTGCTTTGGATTTTATTTATCTGCCCTAAACCTTAAATACTTGTACTTCTAAAAAAAAAAAAAAAAAAGGAAACTTTTTTTTTCCTCTGGCAACTAAATGTGAAAGAAAAGTGAAAGTGTTAGTCATTCAGTTGTGTTCAACTCTTTGCGACCCCATGGACTGTACTCTGCCAGTCTTCTCTGTTCCTCGGATTTTTCCAGGCAAGAATATTGGAGTAGAAATTGCCATTTCCTTTTCTAGGAGATCTTCCCAACCCAGAGATCAAACCCAGGTCTCCCACATTGCAGGCAGACTCTCTACTGTCTTGGCCATCAGAAAAGCCCTAGCAACTAAATAGTTTCTGTAAAATACTTTCATATGTACCTATTTCATTTGTCTTTATATATATCATTATGTATATGTGTGCATATTATAAATACATATAAAATAAACAGCATGTGAGATTAAGATGAATTTATAAAATTGCTAACATTTCAACCAGGTTGATTTCATCTGCAAAATGATAGAGAAGAACTGTCTGAGCATTCAGAAAGGGCTTGAAATTACTTGTGATTGCAAAATTACTTATGAAAAGTTAAGAGTTTAATTTAATTTTTTTTTTTTTTTTTTTAGAAACAGTTTATTTTCCATTTTGGTGGAAGTCTGTTGAAGAACAGCTTACGACCACTCAGTGGTGGTTCCTACCCATTCAGTGGCTTGAGCGGTGGGAGCTGCAGACCAGTCTTCAGTGGAAGGCTGAGCACTCCAGTCTTCCGTGGGGAACTGCTGAATCGGCACGGAAGGCACCTGCACGCCCTCGGACCAGTCTGCCACCTCGGGCTGAGTGGCGGTGAACTCTGGGGCTGGAGCAGTCCATTCTCCCTGAAACTCCTCCTTGGTCACAGCCTTCTCAGCTGCTGCCTGCTCTTCTTTCTCAATCTCTTCAGGATCTCTGTAGAAGTAGAGATCCGGCATGACCTCCCATGGGTGTTCTCGGGAGATGGTGCCACGCATGCGCAGAACTTCCCGGGCGAGCACCCACCACATCAGACCTACTGAGTGCGCTCCCTTTTTAGGATCTCAGAGCAGGATACATCAACTGAGAAAACAGAAAAGTCAAGTACTTCCTGAAGAGTTAGGAATATTGAAGAGAAAAAAAGCTACTTTTTAAATGTTTTCATCTCATTCCTTAAGAGTTTAATTTTAAAATCATCAAAGTTAAGAAAATGACTTTTTAAATGACTTGATCATTTTAACTGAAGAAAGGTGAGGTTTTGAACTAACTGACTTTTTTATGCCATGACATTTCAATTTCTCCATGTTTCGAATGATTTTCTCCTTGTCATCTGCACATGGCCTGTGTGTGTGTGTGTTAGTGGCTCAGTTGTGTCCGACTCTTTGTGACCCCATAGACTATATCCTGCCAGGCTCTTCTGTCCATGGGATTCTCCAAGCAAGAATACTGGAGTGGGTAGCCATTCCCTTCTCTAAGGGATCTTCCTGACCCAGGGATTAAACCAGGGTCTCCTACATTGCAGGCAGATTCTTTACCATCTGAACCACCCAGAAAGCCTGCACATGGCCTAGGGGTGCTGTAATTTGCTTTATTATCACTTTCATCAACTTCACCAGCCCACACACTTGTCTTCTAAATAACATTTATTAGATCTCTGATGGGTAACAAGAATAAACACAGGCTGAAGACAGATCCTAGACTTTTAGATTGCCATCAAAATGCAATGTAACTCTACCAACCTTTCAGTTTACCCTTGAAACAGAGAAACAATTCACCATCACTTGCTTTTTGCTTTGGGTTTTATTTATCTATCTTCCCTAAACCCCAAATAATTTGTATTTTTAAAAAAACTTTTTTTCTCTAGAACCTAAATAGTTTATGCTCACTGGGAAGAATGTGAAAAAACTGAAAAAAACAACATAAGCTAATTGTTAAGAAGTATCATGTTGAGTACAGTTGGGTATCACATCATATTGTGGATTTTTTTTTAACTAATATTATTAGCATTTTCTCATGTCATTAAAAGGGTCTCTGAAAACATGATTTTGGTGACTGTAGACCATTAACTATTCTCTTGACAAGAACATCTACATTAATTTCTGTAATAATAGCATGAGAAACAGTTTTGTTCATTAACTATTAGATGCATATCTACCTTTTGAAGGATGCATTTCCAGAAGTGATTGTAAGGATTCTTAGTGTTTCTCTAGGAATAAAGGAAAACCCATTTCATCCAGACTTGTATGAGGATGGTTCATAGTTCTTCTCACTGAATAGACCTTCTAAGGCAGCACTGTCCAAAAAACCTTTTGATGGTGACAAAAATATTCCATATCTGCACTAATATGCTCACCACTGGCTGCTTGTGGCTATTGAACATTTGAAATGTCGCCAGCAAGAATGAAGAACTGAATGTTAAATTTTGTCTTAATTAATTTAAATCAATTTTATTTAAAAAATTTTATTGACATATAGTTGATTCACAATGTTGTGTTCATTTCTGCTGTATAACCAAGTGACTCAGTTATACATATATATGCTTTTTTATATTCTTTTCCGTTATTGTTTATCACAGGATATTGTCTATAGTTTCCTGTGTGGTACAGTAGGATCTTGTTGTTTATTCATTCTATATATAATAGTTTATATCTGCTAATTCCAAACTCCCAAACCTTCCCACCCCATTCCCCCTTAAGTCAATTTTAAATAACTACATGCGGCTAGTAGCAACCATATGAGACGGCATGATGTGAAAAACTCAGGAAAAAAACAGAGTTTACCAAATAGTATTTTTTAAAATATTTCTTTAAGTGTAAAATCCACATTTTCTCTAATCACCGGCATTTGAAACCTTAATGTTTCAGCTACAGCACCTCTCCTTTGGCCCTTAGTTAATTTAACTAAATGGGCTTTGATGAGTATATACATGATATACAAGTAAATACATGATATCCACCAAGCTAGACAATTTGTACTCTACAAAAATTGTGTTATTTTAATTGCTACAAAGGAGCTACAGACACTTAAGAAATTCTGTTTGAGGAACATCACTTATGTTATTCAGATTTTCAGATAGTTTGAGATATAATAAAAATACGACATGATTCAGAACACCAGAGAGGTTTGAAAGACAAGTTACCACAGAGTGTTGATAAGTGTTCTGTGTCCTGAAAAAGGAAGCATGCAAATCAGCCAACTTTATGGTTTTTAGTTTGTATCTGAAAAAAAGTGAAATGAGATTTTGGCTCATGTTTGGGAGAAAACTTACCAAGTTACACTTTTCAGGAAAAACTGCCTCTGAGCTATGATCTTACCAATTTCACACTTGTTTCAGTCCATCACTGACTCCTTCACTGTTGATTCAGCCAACATGAATCAAGTTTAAAATTGTCTTTCATGTTCCCATTTTGAATACTCTTCCTGCCTACTACCACTTTTGTCTTCAAGAAGATGATGTCAACTCATTTTCCAAATTCCTATGAAGTTAGAAGTTTGTATCATACTTCCTATTCAATACCTGTCTCCTCCTCTACACTAGAAACTCATTGAGGTTGAGGACCATGATTGTGTTTTCTTCTTGTTGCCATATCTAAAGCACCAGATAAATGATGGTAGAGAGATAGATAGACATAGAGACAGATACAGTGTTTGGGAGATATAGATATATGGGTAGATATAGTCAGTGCTTCTTAAATATTTGATAAGTGCATAAGTGAATTGAACCTTCACAACAGCCATGTGAGGAATGGATTTTTCAGTCCCATTGTGGATGAAGAAAGTGAAACTCAGAGAGTACACTTGCTCTGGGTCTCATGGCTGAGAGGTGAGAGAAGTGGAATTTGAGTCCCAACTCTGGAATTCTTTTCATTATATGAGAGCTGCCCTCTCATTCTTCTCTAGGCTGGCTTTTCTCATTCATCTCTATTTCCCTAGCCAAGCAGATACATGAGCAGTGGAAGCAATTCCAGTAAGGACAGGGTTACAATGAAAATAGCTGCTGCCATGGAATAGATAAACGCAAGAATGGAGCTGTGTCTGGGGCTAAATACTCTTCTCATTGTACAGTGAATTACCATGCTCTCTCCAGTTTGAAAAAATAAGGCTGCAGACTGCAGCTCCCTCGGTTTGTAATAAGCATCACAGTCCCATTTAGCCAGCTTAAAAAGATCCACGTAGAGTACTACAGCATGGTCCTACTACGATCCCATGGATTCTGCTTTAAATAACCAAATTACGTAGTACAGTCACCCCTTGCTACCCACAGAGGATTGGTTCCTGGACCCCCCCACAGATACCAAATTCAAAGATGCTCAAGTCCCTTATACAGAATGGCACAGTGTTTGCATATAACCAACATGCATTCTCTAGTACACTTTAAATCATCTCTAGATTACTTATAATACCTAATGCAATGTAAATCTATGTAAATAGTTATAAATACAATGTAAATGTTATGTATATATAGTTTCTGGGCAAGTGGCAAATTCAGGTTTTGCTTTTTAAATCTTTCTAGAAATTTTTTTTCTAGTATTTTCAATCCATGGTTGGTTGAATTCATGGATGCAGAACCCAAGGACTCAGAGAAGACTATAAAAACACTTATTTCACCAAATTAGAATGAAAATAGACTTTAGATACACCCTTTTTTTGCCATTTCTTTTTTCAAATGTAGAAGTGGGATTCAGAGAAATGAGAAGATGTGCCTGAGACACACAGCACTAGGGTGAGAAGAAAGCAATCAAGCTTCTCTGTCCAGTGGCCCATCTGCTCACTCTATCAGTGATCTTCAGACACCAGGCTGCTGAAGGGCGCTCACCTACGACACGTCCCGTATCCATCCAAGGACGTGAGGATGCTCTCAGTACACTAGCTTTCTGTTACAATTACCACAATCTGTAGTTCATTACTTCTTCGTTTGTTTTCTACCTATTACCCTCACTAAAATATTAGGTTCGTATGTCAAGGAGCCACGGGGGTCTAGTGACAGCTCTTTCTTTCACACCTGGCCAACTCCTACCAGCTTCAAAATTCAGTTCAAGTGTGTCCCCCTCCAGGAAGCTTCCCCTGATCTCACCAGCCCGAGCAAGCACTGCCTCCATGCTCTGCCTGGGGTAACTTTCTTCTACGGTAACTGCCTCCATGTTCTGTCCATGGCAACTTCTATTTGTTGAATGAATGAGCCTTGCATGCTTTTTCTCCCTTTAATTCTAAAGACTTTATCCCTAACATATGTTTTAGTTTGCTAAGTCTACTGTAACAAAATACCACAAACTTAGCTTACAATAAGAGAAATATATTCTCTCATAGTTCTGGAGACTAGAAGACTGAAATCAAGGTGTCGGCAGGGCCATGCTTCCTCCAAGCCTCTGACAAGGATCCTTCCTGCTTCCAGCTTCTGGTAGTCCCAGACGTTCCTTGGTTTGTGGTAGCATTTCTCTGCTCTCCACATGGCTGTGCTCCCTGTGAGTCTCTCTCTTCTTCTAGGACACCAGTCAGATTAGATTAAGATCACTCTGTACTCCAGCATAACCTCATATTAACTAAGTACATCTGCAACGACTCTCTTACCGAATAAGGTCACACTCTGAGGCAGTGGGAGCTGAACATAACTTTTTGAGGCACACAGTTCAACCCACAACAGTATATATCAAAAAATGTTTACCTTCACCACTACCTAATCCCAGAGCACTTTCATCATCTGAAAGAAACCCCAGGGACTTCCCTGGTGGTTCAGTGGTTAAGAATTCACCTGCCGATGCAAGGGATGTGGGTTTGATCCCTGGTGGGAGAAGATTCCACGTGTTTCGGAGCAACTAAACCCAGGCACAACTACCGAGCCCATGCTCTCGAGACAATGCTCTGCAAAAAAAGAAGCCTCTGCAATGAGAAGCCCAAGGACTGAAACTAGAGAATAGACCCCACTCACCCCTACTAGAGAAAGCCAGCACAGCAACAAAAACCCAGCGTGGCCAAAATGAATCAATAAAAGAAACCCCACACCCATTAGCAGTCACTCCCATCATGAACCCTG